CTTTCCTTTCCTTTCCTTTCCTTTCCTTTCCTTTCCTTTCCTTTCCTTTCCTTTCCTTTCCTTTCCTTTCCTTTCCTTTCCTTTCCTTTCCTTTCCTTTCCTTTCTTCTTTAAATCTTCTCTTTCAACTTGTGTTCAACCCAGAGAAAAGCATTGCTTAATTATGATTTTAAAATCCTGTGAGCACATGTATAGCTTACTTACCATTGTCCATTTTCGCCTTCCTGAATAAACTGCACTAGATCTCCATCCTCTAGGGTGAGAGAATCTGGGAAACAAGTGTCAAAACTTCCTTCTACCCGGTATAGATTGGATCCCTAAAAATGAATGAAACAAAGCCGCAGATGCAGTTATTCCAAAAACTGGCCAGTGGTATTTTACTGATGCACTGCAAATGTTCATTAATATAGGCCACCCTGGGAAAATAGAAGTGAGGTATAACAAGATTATAAATACATAAATGATCAACAGTATTTGGAACAGCAGTGACTATATTTTAATCTCTGCAATGGTATGTGGGAATGACCTTGGGAGACAGGAGGAAGAGCTGCAGACTAGACAAAAAGAGGCATAAAGTACTAATGCTTCTGGATGTACTTCTTGTCTGGACTACCTCACAAGGCTGACATCTGTGGCATTTTTAATGTCCTGTATTTAGGACTAAGGCTGCAGTTCATTTCATTTTAAAAGCAAGTTTACTGCACATATTCTTTTAGGCTACATCCTATTCACATTTTCTTAAAAGAATATTTCAGCGAGCATTGCAGGACTCAACTTTCAGCAACGTGTGCAGATTATGCAGTTATCTTTTAGCTGTGTTTGTTTACTTAAAATAACATAAATGCTTCTCTAATAGTGTAAAAAAGCATAGAAAAATAATCTAAAAGTTTCCATCATATCTTAAAACAGGTTTATTCGTTGTTTTTTTAAATTAGATTTATATCTTGCCTTTCCTTTAGGCGAAAGGAACTCCGTCTTCCCATTTCCCCCCACAACAACAACAGTGTCACATAGACTGGGCTGAGAGAGAGTGACTGGCTCAAAGTCACCCAGTGAGGTTCATGGTCAAGGATGGACCTGAACCTGGATCTTCCTGGTGTCAGTCCAACACCTTAACCACCAGACCGGCTCTTGGACTGATAGAGAGAGACTAGCCCAAAGTCATCCAGCTGGCTTCCATGCCTAAGGGAGGGCTAGAACCTGGTTTTCCCTACTCCTAGTTCAACATCTTCACTGCTATCCCACAATGGCTCTTGGCCTGAGATAGAATCACTGGCCCAAAGACAGCCACTGAGCTTTGGTGGTAAAGGATGAACTGAACCTTGATCCCAGGTCCTAGTTCAATGTGTTAACCACTGTACCACACTGGCTAGAAGCAATGTGGTTTTCAGCATAAACCCAAACCAGTGATGTCCCCTTACTGGACCCCAGAAAAAATACTGGTGAACAGGAACCTGGTGGCAGAAGCTCCAGGGAGAGGCAAAACAATCCCCCTCAGGGAATAGTAGTTCCTGGTCTTGCATGACATAAGCAGAGAAAAAAGTCCAATTCTGCCGTGCCCACCATTTTAAACAAACTAATGAAAGAGATGCCAAGGAAGCCATCTTTGAAACCCCTTAATGATCACTGCAGGAGGAAGATAATGATTCTGCAACATGGAATCCCCAGATGCCTTGAACTGTCTCTACCATGTTGGCTGGGAATTAGGATCCTTGCAGTCTAGCATAACTGGAGGGCACCAGGCTAACCTACCACTGATGAGCATTTAAGATGGCAGACCTAGCGTGCTGCTGTCCCCAGGTAAACAATTTGACCAGTGAAGCAGCTGCAGGCAATCAGTGAAATGTACATAATAAATTCTTTTTCTGATATGTAAAAAAAGCCCACCATGGGGCTTCTCTTTTCTCCCTGTTTGTGTCCTGTATCATCTCCACTTAGGGTATGAAAATTAAAACCTCCACCACAGAGACTGAGTTGCTAGAGACGGTCCACTTTTGCAGGGCTGCTCTAGATTCCCAGCTCTATGTCCAAAAGAGCAAAGAAATTGTTAACTCAAACTGTCACAAACTTTGGGGTCTACAAACCTTCTCTTTCATGCATGGACAGCATGGCTGACAGGGGAAGGGAGTTTAACCAACAGTAAACCCACCCAGTACTGTTTTAGGTTAAAGTTGTGTCCTGCTCCATCACCACCTTGATTTTTGTGTTTGTATAATGTGCCAAACCCACCCTTGTACCAGTTAAAGCATGTCCTATAAAAAGGGTCACTGAGAAACATTAAAAAAAAAAGTGATGACCTGAAGAACCTAAACATGGCATTTAATCCCAATTGTTCCCTTTTAGCATGATCTGTTGCAGATGTCAGGACTGTTGCCATTGTGTTACTGATGCTGAGCCATCACATATGGGTGTCAGCAGGGGCCTCCTGACATGGCACACATGATGGCATTACTGCACAAATCAACGTGTACCCATTGAACAATTATGTCATGACATGCGTTATGTCATGTGGCTTCTCCCGGATGCCTACGTCCTTGCTTGAACCCGCGTTAAATTACTATATTAATAAAGGTCCCTGAACTACCCAACCCAAAGATATCTTTGGAAATAGCCCTTTAGCCCTGGTCTTCCTGCCATGTTTAGATCTTGCTTGAGGGAGTCAGAAGGATGTTACCTACAGTAGAAGGGTGGCTGTCTTCCTCCAGATCTGAAGAGTTTGAAAGGTCCTCAGCACTGGATGGAATGGCTTCGAAATCCTCAAAGGTATCTAGCGATGGCATCTGTCTGCTAGGCCATCCTTCATTAAAAAAACGAAAACAAAACAGAACAGTTAGCATTATGGCCAGAGTCACTTGTTTGAGATGAGCGGCCATATAAATTGAATAAATAAACAAATAATCTTCAGTTGTGTTTTAGATAAAATAACTGGGGCCTTGCCAAAAATAAATAAATAAATAAAATTATAGCCCTAAATTCAGTTCCCCCAAATCAGTACTGCATGCCTTCCATTGCTCAGTGGGTTGTTGACGGGGGAGGTCCAATGTGCTGCTCAGCCTTAGTGCCTAATTACAGCTACATTACTGTTTTTTTCTTTTTCAGTTCTCAATTAACCAACTCTCTCCTCTGTCCCTAATGGTGTTTAATGATATGTATTTATTTATTAAAATAATTTAATTGTTTATTTATTTAAATAATTTATATAGCTGCCCATGTCACAACAGTGACTCTGGGTGACATACAAAGATTAAAACCCAACAATTAAAAATGAATGGCTTCTACCAGTGCAAATCAGGAAGTGATCAATCTAGATGATGAGATATTTCTGTCATACAACGATGTGAAATATCTTTCCAGACAGACATTGCTTTTGCTTTTCACCTGTTTTTTTAATTAATTAGAAGGAAGTGTTTTGCACGTTATCTTTCTCACCCTGATGTCCTGATGTGGATGATGGCCTGCAGTTAAACACACCTGGAGGACACCAGGTTATTAAAGACCACTGTGTCAGAATCAAAACACATTTTTGTTCTGAAAGTCATGATCATGACAACATGATGAGAATATCAGCAATACATGAAGTGTGTTCTGCAAATGACAGCTTCTGGCTGACTTTTCCTGAGCTTGGCCAGTTGTTAGTATTTGGATGGGAGACATCCAGAGAGCCCCAGTGGCTGTGGGATACACTGGGAAGTAGAGGAAAAAAAATCCCAGAAGAAGACAGTGACAAACTATTTCATCAGTGTTGCCAAGAAAATTGCACTGAATCCATGAAGTCTCCAAGAGTCAACTGGAGTCATAGACACAGATAAGTCTATGCTCTGAAGAGTTGATGATTTACAAAGTGTGGACAAAGAAAACAGAGGAAGAATAAGTAGAATACAACTGAAGGAGATGAGTAGAAAAAAGGGTTTAGGTAGTCACTTGGAAATAAAAAAATATTTTCATGCTTTAGGCACAATCAGTCAAGAGGCTTCTGGCACAAACCCAGTCAAGTGTTGAGGCTCCTTTTAAGAATCTAGGGCTCCTTCTTGGATAAAAGAGTTCCTGTCCCTTTCATGGGGCTAACCCAGAGAAAGTTTCTTTATACTGGCCCTTTTTCTCCAAATATGTTCTCAATGGCATGTGCATTTCATCTTCAAAGGAATACTTACCTGTCTGTGAAGCTGATCTGGGTACCGATCTCGTAGAGGAAACAGCATTGGATTTAGCTTGAGCCAAGAGGGTACTTTCAAAGGCATCTGGGATAGGAAGCAGAGTGTTCTATATTCTTAAAAATGCTGGTTGGTATCCATCTTAAAGATGAAAGGTTGAGCATGCAAACTTTCCTTGACAAATTTCAAGGATCATGGTAAGTAGAATAGATTTCTTCAAGACCACATACTCTGGACCAGTGAAGGCGGTAGATAGTCCATCAAAAAAGTCAAGATGGGAGCCACAACTATGTAATTGAAGCCCCACCCCTTTTTATTTGCTTTATGGCTGCCGTCTTGAATTTTGATCTTTCCACTGATGTCTTTGCTGTACTTCGACAAATTGGAAATCAAGACCAGCTCCCCTTGGCAGTCAGATTAAGGGGAGAGTGGGATATAATATTTTAGGAGCAAGTTCTTGCTTCTAAGCCTCCACACAACATTTTAAAAAGCTATTCCAAAACTTGCAGCAAAACAAGCTGTTAGCCTGTAAGACCCTGATTCAAACTGAGTTTCTTTAGAGCTTAACATGGAACAGGAAACTCAGAGAAAAAAACAATTATTTCTGCTTCATCCTAAGTAGTTGCTGCAGGTGATCCAATTTGATGGAAGTTACATTTAAGTGAAATTTCATCTTGTTTCTAGTATGATTAGCTTTTAAAATGAAAGTGTGCTTTCCAGAATGCTCTTCCCCAAGCTGGTGCCCTTTAGATAATTTAGGATGCATGGAATGCTATTATCTGCTTGGAATTCTGGGACTTCTAACTCTTCCTTACTGCTGAGATGTAGCAATCTCCACCCATCCTTGAATCAGCCAAAACTGTATTGGCATGAAATGTGTGTCTCCATTGCCAAGACCTATGCTCTACTTCTCTACTTTCTCTGTTCTCAGTCACCACCAGCCCTAACTTTCCTCCAGGTTAATAGGCACAAAGCTGAACAGATTTTGCACCCAAAGAATGACCTTGGATGAGGTCAGAATAACTGGAGAAGGCTAATTTAACCACAGTACAGATAACAATGACTTAAGCCTATCTCACTTGTAGACTGGGATCAAAATAAAGGTATTGTCATGGGGACCATGCTATGGTCTGGGAATGGCACCATGGTTGAGTGCAACTGTGGAAAGGCCAGGAGTTGCAAAAAATCCAGAGGGCATAGACTTGAAAAAGGCAATGAATGCATCTGACATTTTCATGGAGAACCAGGTCTCACCAATGGGAGAACTTTCCCCACCATTGGAGGGAATAGTGATATTAAAACTCTCCTGTGCCTGGAGTGATTATATATCCTCTTCCATACTAAGTAAATGCTGTTATTTAACATTCTTGGCCTTAAAAGGGAATATAAAGTGTGTGAGAGGTTACATAAGAATACTATTTGAAAGTGGAAAGCATGCACCCAAAAAGTCACAATAAGACCACAATTACGTTATTTAGAATCAATCATACGAACATCTATCCACTCAGAATTATTTCCCTATTATATCTGATAACATGTAATCAAAGGACTGCCAACACATGGTGATCTTCACACAACACATTTAGCCTGATTACTAACTAACAAATTAAACAAGATTAGCATTAATCAAGCTCAGGTTAGATAAAAAGATTGGCACTACCCAATACAGACAGATGAGCATGCAACCAAGGTCACTAGGAGTTAGCAAGCCCAAAGATACATGAGGACGCAGCTTCATTCATTCAAGTGGGAGAGATGAAGATGGAAAAGATTAAGAATAGATAAAAGTAGAATGAATTGAACCATGAAAAAAATTAGAGATGGACATCTTTTTTCCTTTTCAGGCCTAAGGCTTCCTTTGATCATGTCTTGTCATTTCAGGGCTACATGTAAAAAAAATAAGAAGTATGGAGCCAGGACAAAACAAAATGTGGTTGATTGAATTTTTTAAAAAAATTACATAAATTTAATTAATTGCTATGGTTACGCCTTACGGACTTAATAATAGCTTGTTCTATCACAGAACTATAAAGTTTTCAGAGGCCACAAGAGCACTAAGACCTTGAGTGTGCTCCTCCAACAGAAATAAATAGTTGGCTTTGGCATGTTTAGAAATGATGCAATTTTTAGTAGGATTGCAATACTTATGAATGTGGTGTAGAAAGTGGAAATGGGCCATTTGAAAATTGAATATATATTCTAGTCTCCATACTTTTCACATTCAATTTAAATAAGCAAGAAAACCAGATGTTTGGAGAGATACCAAACATGCTTTGCACTTTAGTAATACATTTTGAGAGTCATAATCAGATTCTGGTTTAAATACGACGAAAAACTTTCTAACAGTAAGAGTATTTAATAATGGGTCTGGTTATTCAGAGAGGTGGTGGGCTCTCCTTATTGGATGTGTTCAGGAGGAGGCTAGAACAGCCATTTGCTTTGATTTGGCTTCCTGGGCTGAGCAGAAAGTTAGACTGACTCAGAAGCATCTATGGCTTCTTTCAGCTCTGTGTTTCAGTGTCCCCTCCTTAAAATGCTTTTTTCAGCATACAAAAAGCCCATCTCTTGTTATGCTTGCCAACCTGATGAATTAGGTTGCAAGCTTATCTATCTTTGAGGAAGGGAGCACAGACATAGACAAGCAGATTCTGAAGTTCTTCTCCCCACTCTCCTCTGACAATGTGTATTCAGAGATAGATGCAACAGGCAATAAAATGATGAAAAACACTGAAGCTCATCTGATATGTTGACTCAGAGATTGGTATGAAATGTTAGTGGTGATGTGAGAACGGACATTCTACAAGTAACAGCATGCATGGACTCAGTAGCTGTACCTTCGAAACCCAGAGGAGTTGGATCACTTTTGATTTCATGCCTCTTGACTTTAACTGCAGGAACAAGGGGACCTGTGTGAAGTTTGCAGATAACAAGATTGGAAGTATAGTTAGATGCTTGTCCCGTTCTCTTGCCATGGCAAAGGAAATTTGCCATGCTGCCATGCTGTAAGATCAGCAACAAGCCGTTACATGCTTGTTTTTAAAATTATTTATGTTTATTAAAAGTACCATAGGATTCCCATCATGAGGCTTAGGCCCACATTGATCTCATTTCTTAATAATGTATCAAGAATTAATACATTTCGTGCCCATACATATGAGTTTCTGTTCACGTGGAAACTTTAGCTAACTTACGGTGATTTGAGCGTGTGAAAACTCCATCTCCATATTCTTTCTGATGGTAGGCAATTGAAAGCTACAGATGCGTAGGACAACAGATATGCTGAGCCTCTAATACTATGTTCACCCTAAGAACTCATTTTGTATTGACAAATATTAAATTTCCCCTTAGATTTTTTTCTTAGCCATTAAAATTTGTTCAGTGTTTCTTACATGATATATTGCATTATCATGTTTCTAATCAGATATAACCTAAGATAGTAAAGATATCCTTGAGTCAAACTCAACTCTTGGTAACTCCATCCATTTCACTCCTGGCAATTTCATGGACTTCATGCAATATTCTCAGCAACATTTCTGAAAAGGTTTCTTTTAGGATGTGTTTTTGATTTCCCAGTCTAGCCAACAGTCCTGGGATTTTCTGGGGCTCTCTCATCCAAGTGCTAACCAGGATTGACCCTTCTTAGCTTCAGAGATCAACCAAACTCAGTTAGGTACTGTTACAGTACTGTTACATGAGCATCATGATAGAAACTGAACCACAGGCTTCCAGGAGGAGCTAATATGTTTTGGAAATCAAAAGATTTTTCATACAGTATTAAGAAGTAGGACCTTGGTTTTCCTCTCCCTTCATTGCCCTTCTGTGTCCAGAATACTTACTGATAAGTTTACTATAGTTTCCTTTTGCCTTTGTAACTGACTGACATGTCACAAGAGAATGAAGATGCACAGAAAACTGATCTGCACTTTGCAAAGCTGTACTGTGATGGGGAAAGCATTATTCATGACTGTTGTAAGAGCCAGCCAGTCAACACTGTTCAAATACAGATTCTGCACCAAAACACAAAAGCCCTTTTCCCCCCAAGCTTGATTCATATAAGAAAATTATATCATAGCATTATAGCAAGTAGAGTTGCTTCACTGAAATAGTAATTTGCTAGCGCAACTACCCAGATGGCAGCGTTATTCCAGTACTAAAAATCTTGCTACTACAGTAACTCATTTCTCTGTGCCTTACAAAGTAGTACACGGGCTCAGTCTGTATAATTTTAGCAGCGTTTGTAGCAAGGTAGATAGCGGTAGTAAAGGTGCTAAAGAGTTAGTGTGTCCATACCTTTGGTTAGAGCAGATGTGTTAGTTGTGGTGTTGATGGAGGAAGCTAAGGAAAAGCGACGGGGAACATCTCTCTCTTTAGACACTGGATCTGGGAGAACAGATAGATGCAGGTCAAGGGTGGGGTAGAAGCATGCAAAAATAAATAAATAAATAAACAAATAAAGGATGCCCTTCGGATGGTGTGGGCTTCAACTCCTAGAATTCTCCTCACTCTTGATTCATAATGTCTTACAGCATCTGCCCACATTGCTGAGAAGACAAATCACTAACGAAGATCCATTTTATTGCCAAAATGATGGCCGGGAGGACCCTATAAAATGCACTCACTAGAGCAACTGCACCTTCGCTGCAAAATGCCAGATGCTCACCAGCTGGCAGCAGTGAGATACTTAAATGTGGCATTATTTGCTGCCATCTAGTGATTATCTAGATTTTTATAGCTCAGATATATGAGTGGAGGGCTTAATTCGTCATGCAATTCCAGCCTGTTTGGTAAGTTTATGGTTTAATGTGTTTTTAATTTATAACTAAGTTAAATGTGTTGTCTGAATACAGCCTATAAATCCCTGGTGAGCCTAAGGCTGAAATCCACACATCTGGAGGCCACTTAGATTGAGGAAGACCAAAATAAGGTATAGGAAGAGGAGCTGATTTGGCAAAGGAGTAAAAAGGTCTTTATTTTCACTTAAAACTAATAACTAATAATATGGCATTATCATCCTGCTTATAGGAGCCAAAACAGCATTTCAAGTTGATCAGTTATATTGGAGGTGAACAATCCCTGGAATTTTAACTTAAACTTTATGTCCACCAGGGAGGTACATGAGCAACCTTGAATGACTGATGAGTTCCTTAGCATGGGAGTGGCTTCTGAGTTGCCCTTCACTAACATATCATGCTGCACTTACACGACACTGGAAAAAGTGAACAATGGGCAAAATGGAAAACATTGTCCCCATTTTGGGTTCCCTGAAATGTAATAAAATTTCACACTGCTTTGGCCAGTCAGCAGATAATAGTAATGCAATTACATATATATGTTGGGATAAGTTAGCTGTTGGTAAATGGTTGCAGGATTAACTATGTCATGGGAAGAAGCCACTAAGACTTTCCCTGAATTTGGAATTTCTTTCATCTTCTTAGATGGGCTCCTTCAGGAGGAACAGTGGTGTAGATACAAATTAATAATAAGAAATATGAGTAGGATCCTATTCTATCCTATAGAAAATAATACCCATGAGCTTCCCAAGTGGAAGACTCAATGGGGGCTCATAATCTATATTTCTCAGTACTGGCGTGTTTGTTTAGCCTTTGATTACTGATGAAAGTGAATTACATTCTTATTTCAGGAGAACTGATCATGTTGACAAGCTTTCAGAATGCTGATCATCCTGAAATATCGTTTCTTAAAATTTTGCATTAAACACAAATGAGGCCCTATCAAGCACATGACAATGAGCAAATTAAGGTAACTTATTTTATTATATGGTGGCATAGAAATGTTATTTTTTTACTGGATTTGTTAAGTCCATCCAACTCCAGAAAAACTCTGGGCAGCAAAAATTTGAAGTCTGTAGTAAGAAATACTGTTTTCTTAATCTGCCAGAGCTCACACACACACACACACACACACACACACACAACAAGCCCAGTTAGATCCTAAAGGGATTACAATATATTTGTGAAAATGAGTGCAGTTTCACTCACTTAAACAAGTGAATTTACTCACAGTAAATAAGAATGTGCACCTACATGTAAGGTGTTGCCAAATTTGAACTTCCAACGTGCTGAGATTTGAGTCCCAAATGTCCCCTTTGTCCATAATTTCTCTCTTTGAGTCACATATTTTGCTAGGCTATGGTATTTCACTATGGTTTCCTTGATGGATTCATAACCCCAGTTTACAAGCCACAGTGACAGGGTCACTCAATATGCTAAGCTCCAAATAAACAAACAACTTTTGGCTTAGCACATTTTCTGTGTATATTCATGCTTTTGTTTGTGTGTGTGACAAAGTGATTACTCTACACAGCAAACTGCATATTGCAGTTCTTGTCATGGTTTATGACTGAAGAATGGCTGGAGGTTCAAAGGGAAATGTGACACTGGGGAAAGACAGATTCAAGAAGTTGTAGTTCTTGGAAACTATAAATGCATCAACCTGGCACTAATCTAGAATAGATTATTAGATGAGCAGTACTTGAATATCTAGTAAATAATGCCTTACTAGTAGGCAACATGGATTTATTAAGTCGTGTCAGACCTTTCCTTTCCTTTCCTTTCCTTTCCTTTCCTTTCCTTTCCTTTCCTTTCCTTTCCTTTCCTTTCCTTAATAGGTCATAGAAGACAAAGTTGCTCATGAATTCATAAATTCAGTAAAATATCTGATAAGCTTTCTCATATATCCCTGATGATAGGATGGTAAAATGTGGACTGGTTGATACTATTTAAATTCCAGAGCTTTAGGAGTCTTCTCTGGTTCTTCAGAATGGGTCAGATCTGGCCACATCTTTGCATATTTGAGGGGTTTTCTTCCCACATGGTTCATGGACCAAGCTCCTCAACTAGGATTAATCTCCTGTCTCACCCAGCATCCCCTGTCCTACATTCTATTGGAAAACATCCAGTCTATTCAAAATACCATTTCTTTATAACTTGTACATCTTAAGCACAATCAACCATGAAAATATTTCTCATTGATACAAATGTTGTGTTTTCCAACAATTTGTTAATGAAGTTACCTGGTCAAAAACAAAATAAGTTATGTTGGCAAGATTAACCCTTGACAAATCCATGCTTATTTCTGATTATTACTACATTCCTTTCAAGGTGCTTAGAAGTTGATCTCTTTATGATCAGCTCTGTCATCTTCTCAGCTATCAATGTTCTATGACTAGGTTTCTGTATCCTTTTTTCTTCTTTTTCAAGGATAGGGAGAACATTTTCCATGTACCATGTTTCTCACACCTGAAGCTTAATTCTGTCCCTTCATCCTATTCTTCACAGTTGCTAATGGAATACACATCCTTTTGTTGGAGAAGATTGAAAATAGAAGTTGAGTAGTTCTATATTTTCTTTAATAGATCTTAGTATACTGTCTGTCTTACTGAGCAGGTCATATGTATGTTGCAAACATATTTATTTTATTTCTAACATACTGAACAGCCCTTTCTGCTGTTCTTAGCATCCTCCACCAACTTCAGCTCATTCTGAGGTTAAGCTTTCCTCACATCATCTTTGCAGTTCTGGGCTACTTGTATGTATTCTTCTTCAGTAGTCTATACCTCTTTATGCCACCTATATATGTACTTTCCATTTGCTTTAAAATTTTTGCTAAGCTTTTTGGGGAGCCTCACCGAAGATGTCTGCTGTTTTCCTTTCTTATAAATTCTCTCCTTGGAAATGTCTGCCACCATGCTTTTATTATATTTTAGGAATTCTTACCTATCTGGTACATCTTTTCCTATTCACTCCTCCTGCCAAAGAATCCTAATTGTCAGAGTTTATTATTATCCACTTTTTGAAGTCCAAGATAATGTGTTCAACTACATTTAATTTTAGTCTTCCTTCAAATTCCAGCATTACATGGTCACCCTCCCTCAATGTTCTCGCTACTTTCACTTCTTCACACTTAATCTTCCCTTTTGATTAGTCCCAAGTCGAAAATAGCCAATTCTCTTGTACCTCCTCCACCTCAGAAGGAGAAAAATGTCAGCAAGAAAGCCAGGAATGTCCTGAAAGGACCATGTTTGGAAGTTTATATTCTAATAGCTGTTGAAATAATAACATCTCTTATCACTGCTGCTTTACACTTTGAATGATCTCCCTTTTGTTTCTGGAAAGCATCCACCATGTCTTCTCCTTGGTTAGTTGGGCACTAGTAGACACCAATAACAGTGTTGCTTTTATTAAGTCCTCTACCTATTTTAATCCAGATGTTCTCTTTAATACATCAGGTTTTAGATCTCTGAGCAGGTGTGAATACTTTAAAGATACAGCCCAAGTCTCCTCCATTTCTATTGTTTCCATTCTTTTTGAACAAACTGCATTCTTCAGTTGCTATATTCTAATCATAGGAGTCCCCTCATCAGGTCTTGGTTGTAACTCCTAAGTAATGGTTGTCGTTCTGTACTAATAGTTCAGACTCATCTATCTTCAGTACTTGGTACATAGCCAGCAAAGAGCAAGTATGGGAAATCTGTTTGTGACTCTCCCATGTTTCAGAGTCATTTCCCAAGATGGGCGGTGACAAATTTGATGAATAAATATATAAATAAATAAATGTTACGTAGAGAGATGTGACTTACAAAACTTTACAATTCAAAAAGATGTAACAGCACAGTCTACAAATGGATCAGAAGACATCTGCTTCTCCTGGTTGCCTTATACTGAACAGAAAATGTTGTCCAACCTCTCAGTTGGAGGTCTGTTTGTAGCTAAGCTAACGTAGGAAACTCATTCCTTCTAGAAATATCATCTGTTTCTTTTTTTTGCCAGTAGCATTACTACCAATTAATAACTGTTCCCAGTTCTTATTTCTTGTGACTCCGTCTCATAATAAGTACAGGTGAAATGTGAAAACTCCAGCCACTAAGTATAAACACATGCATCTGGTAGGTGGTCATCTTTTGTTTTTTTCCCCAATGGACAGTCTACAAGCATAAACCCTGCCTTCTCCATCTAAATATGCTGGACTCTAATTCTACTCTTTTTTTTAATGGGCATTCTCCCAGAAACCCATAAAGAGATTGTGGGACACGCTGGACTTCCTATTTCAGCCCTACAGAAGGAGCTTTTGATAGCTGCTTCAGCATTTTGGCATCCATGTCCATCCATCACAACAACAACAACCAGAAAGGGATCCTTGTGGGCTTTCCATACATGCCATGTAGACAACAGGGAATTTCTAACTGTTGGAAAAGGCCATATACAAATGGCCCAGAAACTTGGCTCTCACTGCAGCTGAACCTTGCAATTTCAGCATACTTCTCCATGGGCTTCTGCATTCCACACAGAGCAGGAGATCAACCCCAGTGTTCAGTTCAGTGCTTGTGAACATGGGGGGAGATAGCTCTAAAAGCTAGGATT